ATTACTGTCTTCAGGATTCTTTCCCTGGACATTGCCCAGATAATCACTAGCTCTGGCCCTCTAACTTCCTTTATTCACTGCCACCAACTGTTCTACATCTGTCACTTTCATGCCTCTGTTCTCTTTCCTATAAGCTCATATTCTCACTCATTCACCAGCCCTGAGCTATTTCACCTGGATTTCCCACAACAAACAACCTATCTTATCAAATCATCTATTTATTCATTCACTCCACAAATATCTATTGAGCACCTACTATATCGCAGTCACATATCCCTGCCCTCATGGTGCTTGCATTCAAATGAGGAAATTATGTGGCACACATAGAAACATGTAATTAAAAGCTTCAGGTGGTGATAACTGCAAAAGATAGTCATTGATTGAGGCTGCTTAAATGTGAGTGGTCAGAAAGGGCTTCTCTGAAGAGGTGACATTTAAGCTGAGGCCTGAATGATGAGAAGGAACCATGTATCTCTGAGGGGTAGGCATTGCGGGCACAGTGCAAAGACACTGAAATGATCATGAGCTGGGAATAATGGAGGAGCAGAAAGACCAGTGTGGCTGGAACACTGAGTGACAAGGAGAGTAGAGGAGATGGAAGTGAGCTCTTCAATGGCTCACCTGTTTTCCCCACAAACTAGCCCATTGCTTAGTCTTGTGAGTTTCTGCCAGTGATGTCATCATTCACCCATCTATGCTTGATCATTGTCATGATGGATGTATTGGAGGAGGTGATGACCTCTGAGGAAGTTGGTTCAATAACTTGGGTCAGAAATGATGAAACTCAAGCTAAGTCTGTGGGATTGAGGATTCAGGCTCTTCTCCAGACAAACTCAAGCTGGGCTCAGGGTTAGCCCTGGTCAGTGGTTGTTGATTTATCTCCAAGTTTACACCTACCTCTATGATTACCCTGTAACCCCCTTTCCCAACTCTCTCACCTCCATCCTTCCAGCTCATCCTCTGCAAAATTCCTCAGCTCTGAATCAATTGCACGTCACTTCTCTCCTCTTATACTCGGCCACCTGGCACATATGGATATTTCCAACCTTGCCAATGACACCACTATAAACTCATGGTCCTCAATTCAGTTGAGCCTTCCATAGCCTTGTCAATCTTCTTGCTTATCCTTGATAAGCTCCCCCTCCCTTTCCCCTCAGCTGCTTTTCCAAGTTCATATATTGGCCTCTAGCCCCCTACACAACTTTCAAGTTATTTGGGATAATATACAAAATCTTTCTCAATTTGGAACCAGAGTCTTGTTAACATCTTCCACCACCACTCCCAAGTTTCCATGCGCTCCTGCCTTCCTGAACTCCTCACTGTGCTCTAAACAGCTCAGGTTCTTTCAGCTTTGCATGGGTTCTTCCCTCTGCTTGAAGTGCCTCTCCCCTCTTTCTGTCCTGTTGGTGTCCTACTCACCTCTCAAGGCCCAGCTAAGAGGTGACCTTATTCATTACTCCATCCTCACCTTCCCAGGCGGAGTTCACTGCATATCCCTCCACTAGCTCCCTTCTCCATGTTCACACTTTTTAATGTACCTTTACTATAGACCCTTCCACCTTGTATTATATTGATCTAGTATGTGTTTGTCTCTCCCAAGACTTTGTAAGCTCCTTGAGGGCAGGAACTAATGCATCTTTGTATTCCAGAATTCAAAACAAAGACAACCTGGGAAAATGTCTGTTAAATAAGTGAAGAAATTGGTGAAGGTGTGAAGGAGCTTGAAGAATAAATGAGTGCATGCAACAATTAAGGAATAATTAGTGAGTGGATAAATGAGTAAAAAAATGAATAAACGAGACATGAACGAGGGTGAATGAACAAATGAGTGTGTTAAGCAAATGAATGAATGAATGCAGGAAATACCTGAGAGAGTGAATAATTGCAGAAATGAGCAAGTGGGTCAAAGGATGAGTCCAAATGAATAAATGATTGAATAAGTAAATAAATTAATTAATCTATGGTTTAACTCATGAATGAATTCATGAATGAATTATGTGTGGACAAATATATGAACGAGTGAATTAACTAATGCATAGAAGAATGAATAAGTGAATGAAACAATGCATGAAAGGATGAGTATAAATGAATTAATGAGTGAATGGATGATTTGGCCAATCCATAGAATACTGAATGAGTGCAGACAAACAAGGGAGTGAATGAACTGTGCATGGAAAAATGAGTATAATTACTAAACGAGTGAATGAATAGATGAACAAGGAAGTGAATGAGTGAATAAATGAATGATCAAGTGAGTAAATAAGTGAGTGAATGAGTAAATGAATGACTGAATGAATCAATGCATATATAAATGACTTTGGTCAAATGGTCCCCATGACTCCATCAGCAGCTGCCCCATAGCCTGACTTCCCAGCCCTGGCTCCATCCTTCCCTGTACCATCACCACTCACCCTATCACAGTCCAGCACTCACCAGATAATGATGCCCACCAGCCTCATAATAGCCTCATTGAGGCTGTCGAAGAAGTCCCGCAGGACTCGGCCCTTGTGTTTCATGCCGCCAATGACCAACCCAAAGGCCACAGAGAAGACCACAAGGCCCAGAGCATTGATGCCATTGGCTGAGCCAGGCACAGGCACAATCTCCTCGAAGGTCAGCACCTCCTGCAGGGTGCCCAAGGCTCGTGTGACATTTTCCAGGAGGCTGGTTCCATTCTCCATTGAAGATGGAGGAGGCATGGAGGCGCTCTGCTCAGATCCATTCTCTGTCCTCACAACGGTCCTGGTTACCAACCTCGTGCTGTACTGTGTCTTGAACTGAAATATGGAGAGATTGGAGCCAAACTCAATTCAGTGGATGCATCAGAATCACCTGGAAAAATGTCTTTCAAACACCGATTCCTGGTTCCCATACCTTGGAGAGTCTTATTCAGCAGATCTGATGAGTGAATGAATAATTTGACCAATGCATAGAAGGAGTGACTGAGGAGACGAATGAATGAGTGAATGACCAGATCATGGAAGAATGGGTATAGAGTCTGCATTTTTCTCAAGCTCCCTGGGAAATGCTCAGATCTGGGGGCCTGTCTCCTCAACTATCTAGTCAGAAGCCTTGGTTCTTCTTCTAGTACCATCCCCAGGAAGCCCTTGGCCTATGTCCATCTCTTTAACTCTTCCTTGAACATCATGCCAATGGCTATTGCTTTCTCAGGCACATCTTCCCACCCCTCACCCCTGGCCCATTCACTCAGCAGCAAGCTCCCACCACCCTCCAAGCCTCCTTGATCAAACTGCACTTCCCCCTGACCTGTTTGAAGCAGGCCTCCACAAGGTTGGGTGGAAACATATTTCTGCAGGAAAACATCAGATAAAGGGAAGAGATTAGATGTTGGAAAGGTGTCTAGGATAATAGTAATAATAATAGCAAGGGCAACAGTAATAATGGCAGCCAACATTTGAACACTTACTCTAGTCCAGGGTAAGTAAGCTAAGTACCTTACCTATATGTTCTGATTTAAACACTATAATAACCCTAAAAGTAAGGGCTCTTGATATCCCCATTTTATACACACACACACATAAAGAACAAAATATTTATGTAAGTTACCCAAAGCCACATAGCTATTAAGGGGTGCAGATGGACCTCAAATCCATCTCAGGTCTGTCTGAGCCCTATAGTAGGAACTTTTGCCACCACAGGGACTTCAATTCATATACATGCACCAGTGACACCTCAAAAAAATAATAAACCAGACAGCTCCTGCATTCCTCCAACTCCCCCCAACTCAGCGGTGTGGGTAGAACTACGGCTAGCCTTATTTGGGCTGGCAAAATCTTGCTGTTCTAAGAGAATCCTTCACCCTCCAACAGATCTTGGGAATACCAAACACCATCTGTCCTGAGCCTATCCCAGGATACAGCTTCCCTAGGCTAAGGGTCAAAATATCCTGTCCCTAGGAGTCAGCTGCTCTTAGAGGATTTGTGCAAGGCTCCAAGTCAGAAGATGGGCATCAATAAAACTAGGCTCAACTTGGGTGTTGCATTTCAGACGGGGTCAGCTTGTCCCCCTTGTCTCTCCTTGAGTATAAGTTGTTGCACATAGGGCCAGAATTCCCATCAAAATTAGAAAGGACGTCACCTGACCAGGTCCATGAAGGCATCAGCCGTGGGGATGGTCTCAATCCGACCCTCACGATGCAGCCCCTCCTTGGAGCCCTTTCCAGGATGGATGATGGTGACCATGAGGATACCGATGAAGACCGCAATGACCGTAGTCACCATGTAGTACACAGCTGCCCGCATCCCCATGCGCCCTGTCGCCTTGTTATCCAGGGATGCCATACCTGGAAGACAAGTGGTACAGACCCAAGCATCTCCATCCACACCTCACCACCCACCCTCCCATCCATCCAGTCCTCTTTCCCCACACCACCAGCTCAACAACCATTCCACCAAGCATCCCTTCCTCCTATACCCACCCAGCACCACACCACCACCCATGGCCCATAACATCATTCTTCAACCGCCATTCTGTTTTCCATATACATCTTCCTCCCCATCCTTTATCCCAGCCACCACTTCACCATGCTTTCCTCTGCTCCAAGCTAACCTTTTCAACCCCATCCTGTCCTCCACTTACCCCTGTTGTGCATTATAACCTCACTTTTGTTCCACTCTTCACCCCACTATCCACCCATAGCAACACCTCTCTGCAACCCAGCTCACTGTACACTATCCGTAGCAGATGCTTTTGTTGCCCTATCTAGACACCCTTTACCAGGCTGATACACCTATCCTTCAGCTGCCGAGTGTGTTGGCTGCTAACAGTTCATGCTGCCCCCTTACTCTGAGAATTGCACTCAGAGGAAAACAGGAGCTTCCTGGCCCAGAAAAGCCCCATGGCAGACCTATAGTCAGTGACAGGTACAAGGATTCAAAAATCCAGTTCCTTTTACTCCAATGGGATCAGAGTTGGGAGGAACAATTCTGTGGTGTGGCTCATGCTCCAGAGCTCCCTGTGGGATCAAGCCAAGAGGCCAGTCTTCTTCTGAACCTACATCTCTGCTTAGTTTCTTTCCCACCCCAAGCTCTCCCCTCACTTCCTTGTGGGTTTCTTTGAGAGCTGTCCTGAATAAATTGCTTGTGTAAATATCCCCATCTCAGGCCCTGCTTCCAGGAAACCCAACCCAAGAAGGCATTTCCTTTCATGCCTTTACCTTCATGCCTATCCCAAAATCTGGAGATTGTCAATCAACCACCCAGGCACCAAATCTGGCCCACTGCCTGTTTTTGTAAGTCAAGTTTTACATATTAATCTGCATCTGCTTTAGTGCTACAATGGCAAAACTGAGTAGTCATAAAGGAGACCATACAGTCTCTAAAGTAGAAATATTTACCATCTGGCCCTTTACAGAAAAAGTGTGCTGACCCCTGCATAATCCATCCGTATTTCCATCCCACCCTCACCCACCATCCTGTCACCTCTATCTCAAACACCTGGATTCACATCACACTCCCTGACCATCCACACCATAACCCAGCTACCTTGCCTGGCTGCCCCACCACAGCCTTCCTTTCACCTCTGCCTGATGCCCTAACCTTAACCCTAAGTTCCTGGCAGGCTGGCATCTTATCCCCAGTGAAAAGTATAGAAAAGTTACTGAGATAAGTGGTGTAGGCCATATGGGGTCTGGAACCTGGGTTTGATCTGGATCTGGGCTTTGGCCAAGGACTCTGGGCTAGGTGCACACTCCATGTTTGAGGTCCTGAAGTGGGGAAGTGGTCCCATGCTTGGACCACTTTAGCTCCAGGTTTGAGGTTGGGCTGTAGGGTGGATCTTGAAGGCCAACACTGGCCTGGGCTCTCTCACCTGTGACCAGGCTGGAGACGATGAGCGGCAGAACCAGCATTTGCAACATCCTCATGAGAAGCTCTCCAGGGAAAGAAAAGTACTTGATCTGGCGGTAGGTGAGCTGGTATGGGCGTAGGGCAAAGGCCAGGCTGACCCCTAGGGCCAAAAAGGTCCATGGAGTGGCGTTTGGGTCACTCAGCCCCAAGCAGGAGCCATCCATCCCAAGAAGGGTGTGTGTGGATGGAGATGAGAGAAAAAGAGAAGCATTCTGTTTGTGTGTGTGCACCTTGTAGAAATGTATGGATTTATATGTTACCATGTTGATACTATGTAAATTTGTGTGTAAAGGTCTGCGCATATGCACACATGTGACAGCGTACATTCATTTGTGCATGTGTCTGTGCTTGTATATGTGGACCCATGCATATGTTTTTCCCATGTGTGTATATAGGTGTGACTTATATGTATATAGTTTCCAAACATTTAAGCTCATAAGTGTGCCAATGTGTGTGCAGAGGAATGCATGTGCTTGTAAGTTCCAGTATGTATACAACTGTGTGAATTTACGTCTTTGCAACTGTAAGTTCTGTGCATGCATAAAAATAATGTGTTCGTGCTTGTGTGTTCATAAGCAGAAAAGGTATTTGTACAGTGTGAGCATGTGTGTATGTACACATACATATACATATGACATTGCGTGCACACACAGCTGTTTTTGCACGTGTGCACTGTGTGAGTGTTCTACATGGCGGGGGGGGTGCTGGTAGGACAAGCCATGGATGTGCGCTGGTGAGAATGAGTGGGTGGAATGAACAGACATGCGCGCCAGGACTTCCCCGAAGTCCCGCCCCCCGCCGCTCACCTATGACCACGGCGCTGACGGTGAGCAGGATGAACGCGTTGCGGCGCAGGAAGCGCAGCACGTGCTCGCGGGTGAGCGTCTGCAGGCGCAGGCGCGTGCGCAGCGCCCTCTGCTGCGCGCCCTCCAGCAGCCGCTGCAGCCAGCCCACCCGCACCAGGCGCGGGCCGCTCTCCCGCAGAAACAGGCTGTTGCCGTGGCTGCTCATCGTCTATCTGCGGGGGACCGAGGGCCCTGGGCCTGGGGAGGAAGAGGACAGAGGACAGATGTGGGCAGAGGGGAAAGGGCTGCAGGGTGGAGGACGCTGGTGAGAATCCGGACGCAGGGGAGGGGCGAAGGCAGTCTGCTGGGGTGTGCGGGGACTGCGACGCCGGAGGACACTGCCTGGGGTTCAAGGGTCACGTCCTGGCAGAAAAGGGTCAAGGTCTCATAATTGCGTCCCTGCGTGGCTGGGGAGCGGCAGGGAAGGAGACAATGTAACAGGCTCTTTGCCATTGCCCGACTCCAGCCCTCTCCTTATTCCAGAAGATCATCACAAGCAACTGGCCGCTGCCCCACCTCACAAACCAGTCTAACAAGGCTTTGCTAAGCGCCAACTGTATGCAGAGCCCTAGACATGGTACCTCACGGGTAGCCCCCCCAAATTAATATGGTTCGGTGCCTGGAGATGCTCACAAATGGGCTTTCAACAGCAAAGTCAATGACAGCAAGAGCCTGGCAAACAGTGAGTGCCCAATAAATGCAGCAGCTCTGCCTAAGTGCCTGGGTGAGCAACAGGAAGAGGGGGGAGTCCTTGGGAAGGAAATGGTGCTAATCCTAGACCCCAGTGGCTCACTGGGATCCCTCTTTGAAGGGAAATGTGATGTTCAGAGTCTCTCTGGGGTACCACATACTGTTTCCCCAACTTCAGACTTTTGTGTCTCCTCTTTAAATTTGGCCATATCCATATAATCTTATTTACATTAGCAAGAAATGTATCTCAACTGGAAACTTTAGATACATTCGGTCTTTACTGTAGGTCTTTACTTGAAAAGCTAATTATGTTTTAATACACATTAAATAAAATGCCTATAAAAATAAACACCTGCCTCTCCAGTTACCAACTACACACCTTACATGTATAGGGCAGCTTAGAAATTGTGACTTTCACGGGCCTGAGGAACTTTTACCTCTGTGGACTCCTTCCTCCATTAAGAAAATATTAAAATTATATTTTATGACCGCATTGGTATAACGGTGAATATCTAACCTTGGAACTAGGTAGAGGTGACGGTTGTACAACATTGTACTAAATGCCACTCACTGCCACTTTGAAAAGGTTGGTTTTCTGTTATGTGAATTTCACCTCATATTTTATATTAAAACATTTTCTTTGACTTGAAGTTTAATTCTTTCTTCTGATTTGATTTGATTTTTAATATATCTTTATTGATTTCAGAGAAAGGAAGGGAAAGGGAGAGAGAAACATCAATGAAGAGAGAGTCATTGATCAACTGCCGCCTACATGTCCCCTGTTGGGGATTGAGCCTGCAACCTGGGCATGTGCCCTGACCAGGAATCAAACCTCGATCTCCTGGATCATATAGGTCGATGCTCAACCACTAAGCCACACTGGCTGGACTCTTTCTTCTGACTTTAAAAGAAGTGAAAACATTTCTGTGGGTTCCTAAAAGAATCATGGATCCTGGGCATGGGCCTCCGATTCCTGAAAGATAAGCAGCCTTGCCTATCCCGATCTCACAGCAAAAAAAAAGTGGCAGTTCCCCTATTCCAGGGGTACCGGGAATTCTGCTATTCCTCTAGATTCACTCACTGACCACTAGAGGTGGCATTGCCGAGGCTTCCTTGCCCACTGGCTCCTCTCTGGGTCAGGCCAGTGGAAGGCAACAGGAGAGTGGAAAATGGGAGGAGATGGAACACTGATTCTCCCAGCTCCCCTGTCACCCCTCTGTTTGGCAGGAGCTGTGTTCCCCTGCCTAAGGCCACAGATCCCATCAGACAATCCTTTGTGCCTGTTGGCCATTTGGATGTCTCCCTTGGAAAAATATCTAAACAGTTCCTCTGCCCATTTTTTAATCAGATTTGGGTTTTGGTGGTGGTGTTTTTTTTGTTATTGAGTTGTATGAGTTCTTTATATATTTTGAATATGAACCCCTTTTCCAATATATGATTTGCAAAAATTTTCTCCCATTCTGTAAGTTGCCTTTTTGTCTTGTTAATTCTCTCTTTTGCTGTGCAGAAGCTTTTAAGTTTGATGTAGTCCCACTTGTTGATTTTTGTTTTTGTTGCCTGTGCTTTTGGTGTCATATCCAAAAATCATTGCCCAATATCTTCTTTCTAATGTTTCCTCCTAAGAATTTTATGGTATCAGGCCTTATGTTTAAGTCTTTGATCCATTTTGAGTTTGTTTTTGTGAGTGGTGTGAGATAGGGGTCCAGTTTCATTATTCTGCATGTGTGTATCCTGTTTTCCCAACACCATTTGTTGAAGAGACTGTCCATTCCTCATTGGGTGTTCTTGGATCTCTTGATGTCATATGGGTTCTAACTCTCACTATAATGGCAATTTATTACAACATATAAATATATCAAAACAATATGCTGCGTATACCTTAAATTTTCTCAATGTTATGTGTGAAATATATTTCAATTTTAAAAAATGACCATCCTCTGTTACAGCCTCCACTCTCCTTGTGTCCCTCTCCTGCTCCTTCTGTGAATCCCCACTCATGCTGATCCCTGAGTGCTACACCAGCCATGCTGGTTTCCTTTAACCCTGCTCATACCTTTGTAAATAGTCTTTATCTTAAACTCTTTTCAGTCCCCCCTTTTGAGTGTGCTGTCTCCTAATTGATATACCAGATTCACTTCACTGTTAGTAAAACTCTCCAAGCCAAAGCAAGGCAGTAAATTTTGCATCCTGTACAGAACTCTGTGCATATTTGGTTTGCCTGGGATTGCTGCACTGGTAAGAACTTGGCCTGGCCCAGCTAGTCTCGAGGGATCACAGCTTCGGATACCTCTCCTCACCCACCCCTACTGCCTGAATTCATCCAGGTCAGAACTGGGAGTCTGTAGGAAGTCTCAGTTCCACCAGCAAGTAGGTCCCTGGACTTTTTGTTATTTTCCTGCCACTGGCTGAGCAGCTACTTTTCTGAGGTCACTGTTTTCCTTGCCCTCCTTTGCTCCCCCCATATCTGAGGGATGGGCCATCTACCTCAATTCTCCAGGTCTAACTAAGCTCTAGGTCCCCAATGCCAAACCCCAGTTGGGATCCTGCTCCAAATGGATCCATCAATGCTGCTTCTCACATTGCTGTGAAAAATCCCAGACATGGGACTACACACAAACAGGAAACTCATATTTCCTCCCTCTCCTCCAGGATGTACGTTTCCAGTCACTGAGTGGTAGCTCAAAGCTGCCCATGGGTCCCTTGAAGACACCTATCAATTTTTCTGTCCTGTATGCATCACTTGTCAGACAATACTTGACTTCAAATGGTTCTCCCAGGATCTTGGCTTTCACTTGGGCCTTTCTCAGCCTCTCTTTGACCCCGGGGGCATCTCCCCTCACTCTGAGTTCTCTCTTTACTAGTCTCTCCTGGTCTTAGGCATTCTCTTGACCCTGTTTCTTAGGCTTCCTGCTTGGTAAGTGGCCCTTCCAGTGCCCCCAAGTCTCTTCAGAGATTCAGGGATCCGTCTCCCAACTGGTTGCCCCAACCTTCAGACTCCGCTGAGATGTGCTGGCAGCCCTCGGAGCCAAGGGGAAAAAGGAAGCCTGCCACATTCTAAAGCGGAAACAAATTATGGTGGACAAAGCAAGGCTGCTTCCCATACATTTTATCTCAACACTCCGCTGGCCTAGCTGGAAGGGCGAGGGGAAAGAGGAAGGAAATCACACACATCACACCACACACACACTTGACACACAACCTCACACACCTCTTATGTGCAGTTGCCACATACACAGCCACACACACAGACACACAGACACACAATCACACACAGGGAACCGTTTGGACATACAGCCCAGACACACCTTCAGAAATGCACTGTGCTCGTGCAGCGTCAGTCATACAATAGGTATTGTATAACCCTAACCGTAATAAACACACAACATACACTTGCCACATTCATGCACACCTTCCAACACACAACCCCACACACACCTTCGTGGCCCTACACAGCTCCCCTGTATAAATGAAACTTCAGACATGTAGTGAGAGTCAAACAATTCCTACACACACACACACACACAACTTGGGGCACAAGACGGAGAAACTTCGAACATTCAAATTCATTCCCACATTTATTTAGCCCCACACACCTCTGTCTTTGGGAAGGCAAGCCCCGTCATAAACTGTCCCAAACACACACACATCACCGCCACCTCCCACACATCTTTGGACCAGCCTCCCTGCCGCGGTGACCAAAGTCTCAGTCACAGCCAGGTCTGTCGGAGTTGGAGGAACCAACCCTCTGACGGACAGGGGACGGAACCCTGGCAAGGGTCACGGCATCAGACCCAGAGATGGAGCCTGCCAGGAGCGGAGGCCGCGGATGCCGGACCGGGATGGGCATGAGGGAGACTGGCAGGGGGGCCCTGGGAGAGGAAACGAGCGGTAGGTGAGCGGCTGCAGGACTCTAAGGGGCAGGGAGGAGCTGAAACCCAGAGCGGCCAGAGATGGCGCCCCACCCGCCTGACCCCAGGGTGGCCAAACCCGCCCGGGATCCGCCTGCCCTGAACCTCAGGGCCCCTGCGCTCGCGGGGCGCCGTGCCCCCCACTCACCAGCGTCCGGAGCGGTGGGGGCGGCTGCCTGCGCCTCGGCCTGAACGCTGAGTCCGATGCAGGAGCCGGAGCCCCGCACAGCGCCCGGCTCGGGC